TTTTACTTTCTCCCTTACAAGCTGAATATATATTAAGGGGAAACAGATTGCAAGATGATGCACATGATTTTAAAACTAGAGGAATAAATATTAAGAACTTGCACTATGTTGATGATGCTACCCTGATTGCCAGAAATGCAAATGATCTGCAAGCTCTAGTAATAAAAATCAAGGAGCACAGTGATAAATTTAAATAAAAAGAACAAACTAATAACAAGTAAAAAAACAGCGTTAGAAGAAACAAAAATAAATATTGAACTGATAGTTAGCTTGCGCCTTTTCAGATCAACTATTAACAATAAAGGAATACGCAGTCATGAAATATGCCACAAACCAGGTCTTGGCGGAATAACTAGGAAACTTTGGGAAAAGATATTTAAATGCCACGATGTTCCTATTCCTACAAAGATAAGAATAGTGCAGACATTAGTATTACCTGTGACATTACATGTCAGCAAAAGTTGGACTTTGAAAAACCAGCATAGAAACAATATTGGTCCTTTTGAAATTTGATGTTGGAGAAGACACTTGAGAATACGGTGGATAGCCAAAAACAAATGGATTATTAAACAAATCAACCCAGAGTTCTCACTTGAGGCTGAAATGACCGTTCAAATTATCCTACTTCAGATATATTATGTGAAGACTGCAAAAGGCTTCATTGATGGCAAAGGTGAAAAGAGAAAGGAGAAGATCAAGTGGATGGACTCAGTTGTAGTAGTGATGGGTGCACCAATTGAAGATCTGAAAGATCAGATTAGATTCAGATTATGGACAAAATCTCCATGTGGTCTTTAAGAGTTGACAATATCACGATAGTACATTGATAGTATCGATCAAAGATCCTTAATTTTTATGGACTGAAAAAGTTGTACAAATTATTTTACAAATTATTTTCTTTCGTTAATACTGTGAAGGACAGGAAAAAAGTTATTCTAATAACCCATTCTACATTATCATTGCTCAATCTTGAGGTCTCTAGATAACTTTGTGATTGTCATTCCAGAATTCCTAGCCAGTATTACTTCTAAAAGCAATAACTAATATGCCGACAGCAAGCATCTCATATAAATTGAACAAGTTTTTAAAATATATGTTCAGCTTCAGTTCCACATAAACTGAATTTAAGTCACTTGTTTCATGGAACATATTGGCTTATTTGCCTTTTGTGTATTATTGCCACAAATACCATGTATCTCTTTTTATGTACATCTGTTTTGTCATTTTTTCATACTATAAATTATTACATTTTTTCCTGGATAGTTTAGGAAAGATCAGTTTTATGTTAATAACTGTTCGGAGATAATGGTGGAATCCTTTGCAGTTTTTTTCTATAACAACTGTCCAAATTCAGCAAAAATAGCCTTTAAATACATTTGAATACTTTCCTACAAAATGCATCATATGGATGGCCAAAAGCCTTTATCTATCTTACATATGTAATCCATTACACTGTATTGTAATTTTCAATCCTATGTTACTTATCTTTTTCACAGCTAATTCTGGTTGGCTATATTCAGTTGAATGGTCAGGTACTTTTTTATAAAGTTATATGGACATTCATTTTGTTGAGAGAAGTTTATAAATTATCTGTTTCCTTTTTCTGATGTTCAAGAAACATTGACTTTACATGAAGTAAAGTATTAAAAGTATCTTGAAGTGGATAGCTATCAAATATAAATGGTTTAGCTGGCATATTGTCTTTTAGACTGGATTAAATAACATCATTTTAATTATCTTCTTCTAACTTCTGACCTGTAATTGAATATAGCGAATATAGAAATATGAAAACTTTTTGAGTATCTTTGTCTTTTTTAATCTTTAAAACAACTGTTAGCAAATATACTTCCTTTACTCTGAATCAGGAATAGCATCCTTTTCCACTAACATTTAGGAAATAATTCACTCATTCATTACAGGAAAAAAATTATATAATACCCAGCAACATTACATATAAAAATTACTATATGTTAACATATTATTAGAAATAAAAATGTCTAATACATAATTCTACTTGAAGTTTCAAGTGAAATTCTGTTGCAATAGTATGTTTAATGACAGATTACAAATCACTAGGCACTTATCTGTAAATAAAGATCCAATTGTAAAATTAATTATCCTACGCAACAGATGGTCATCACTCATCTCACTGCCTTATGTCACCTTCCTCTACTTCCTTGAATGCCTGCATAACTACTAGTTTCTTCCCAACTATCCCACCTGCCAGTTTATTCATGAGAGAAGTGAGCATTTGTATATGTTTTCTGGTTAATAGTGAGTAATAAAAATGTGATGAGGTTATCAAGATCAGTATTAAGTTGCCATTAAATGTTAATTTTCAATAACTAGTTCCAAAGGAAAAAGCACATCCATTGAGAAAAATGCTGTCCATTTCTTTGCAAACTACTTCTGTATCATAGAAAGTTTCTGAATGTTGCACGCCATCCAAAGTTGTTACATGTGTTATACAGCAGAAGTCTCCAACCCCTGGGCCGTGGCCCACTACTGGGCCTTGAGTGGTTTGGAGCTGTGGTGCGGAAGTAGTGCACAAAAGTGGGGATGCGTGCACACACTCACCCACTTGTGAGAGTGGGTGAGAACATGCATGTGCACTCCATTTGTGTGAGCGGTGGGTGAATGTGCACATTGCTTGCCCGCTACTCATGCAGAACTATCCCGTCTCCTCCCCACCAGTCCGCAAAGCTGGAAAGGCTGAAGAATTCAGTTATACAGCACTTACAATCTAATAAGCAGATAAATAGATAAAATACATAAATAAGAAGCTAGCAACATGGCACCTTCCAAGATTTTGGCCATTTCAAACTATGCATTTAAATGAACTATCTGCAGTATTATTATGCACAATAAATTTTGGCTACCTCTGGCTTAGAAGAAATTTATTTTGTTGAAAATTTAGAAGAAAGGAACTCTTGTTCAAGATTCATTTCCACAATGCAAAATCATGGCAGCTAACCATTATATCTAAATCAGGTCTGACCAATGTGCACTCAATTTATTATTCTCTAATTTGTTAGCAGTAGCATTTCAACTTCAATTTTTTAAAATCTATTTTATCATTTATTTACTTAGAGTTAAATAAATGTGTCATTTCCCTTTTAAGCAGTCAAGTTGGTATGCATAATGCTCTCTATTCTAATTTAATCATCACAAAAATAACTATTTGAAATAGATTAAGTTGATAAACTGTAACTGCCTAACAACAATCAATTAATTACATAACTGAATATAGTTTTGAACCAGGTGTTTCTTTGGTCTAAGTCCAACCTTACAAACATTAATTTATATAGGCTACTGAAAGGCATAAACATATTCCATTGTATTCATTTTACATAATTTCTGAAAAAATGAAATAATAAAGGGACTAACCCTCTATGTATTAAACATTTTACTCAACCTTGATAGGGATATGTTTGCTAAGAACTATTATTTTGCTTTAACTCTGCTCTGTATTTTATTCCTATTAAAATGATCTCTATATATAGAAATTAGACACAATATTTATAGTATCTTTAATACAATATCTTACTTTTAATTAACATTATAAAATGCTGATATCTGTGAAACATGACATTATTTTATACTAAGCAAGAAAAACATTAGTAGCCATTTACCATATATACAGGATGCAATCTGTATTCATTTATCATTCTTATGGTGTTTTATTTGCAAAATTTTTGCAATGAACACTAATAGTTAAGGAAGCCATCTGCACTGATTTGCCGGGGGGACACAGAATGAACAAGGTGAATCTGTATGCTTCAACAGAACACAGCTGGCTAATGCTAGAATTTCTAACTTATATGCTAGGCTTCTTGCTTGCTTGCTTGCTAAAAAACAACAACAGAAGGAGGACATTCCAAATTGTTTCCTGGACATAAGAATAATAAATCAGTTCCTGCTCTCAATCATACAATACATCCTTTCCCCTTCAAACTATATTTTAACAATATGTTAAATAAAATCAAGGTAGTGTGGGCAATCTTAAACCCCTAATGCTTAATTTCATATAGGTAAGAGGGGATTAAATGGAGGACTGGAAATTGAGATGGGAATAAAAATGAGAAGAAAAACTGAAAAGTTAAGGATATATCAAAAAGAAAAATAAAAAAATAAGAAGGAAAATAAAAGAGACAGCTCTAGTTACTTATGGAACAGAACCTGCAAATCCCAAGCACATTGCTCCAACAGGCTATTCTGAGAAAATGTAACTCTTGCTGTCAGATTTGTTGCAAGTATAATCACTTAAATACCTATAACATTATTACATTGATAATCTAGTGTCTGCCTAAATTTGAAGTGATAGTTGTTAAACATACTTCCCTCCCTCCCCCCAAAATATAAAAGAGTAAGCATCTCTGGTTCTATTTTCTAGGGTTTTATCATACCACAATTATATTTGCAAACTTTGCAGCTCTGAACACTGGAATTTATCTAGAACAGTGGTTCTCAACCTTTTTAATGTCGTGACCCCCAACCGGTCGTAAGTCGAGGACTACTCAACCGGTCGTAAGTCGAGGACTACTCAACCGGTCGTAAGTTGAGGACTACTCAACTGGTGCACCAGTTGAGTAGTCTGTTTGCAGAATGGGACTTTTTGCAGAATGGGACTTTTGGTGGGCTCAGCAGGGCAGAGACAGCCTGGACAATTCCTATTGGCTTTTGAAAGCCAATAGAATTAGACTCTATTCAAGAGAGTCTATTCTATTGGCTTTCAAAAGCTAATAGAATAAAAGGGAGTAGCACAGCTAAGGAAAAGGGGGAAAAATGGCGGACTGCATTGTTTGGCAACCCCCATGAAATGGTCGTTCGACCCCAAATGGGGTCCCGACCCACAGGTTGAGAACCACTGATCTAGAAATATGACAGTAGAGGGAACAACATATGATGGATGGAAATCACTGAAAGTTGCTTGTTGATATGTTTTAAATTTAACATTTTAACATTTTCTGATTTAAAAATTAATCAAACCAAATACTTACAGTCCATAAATCTGAGGTGCAATCTCAAGCCTATTCAGATGCATGTAGAGCTCAATGTCATGTTTCTTTAGCAAATGATCTTGGATCTGATTAACTTTTGCAACAATGGCTATTGATGGACCTAAATCTTGTGGTCTTGCAAACGGAATAGGGGTCATCACAGCATCTTTTTCCTATTAAAATTGATAAAAACAAGAAATATAAATTTAAATCAACTATTAATTGAGTTGCCCATATAAGTTTATCAAAAGATAATCATGACCATGAAAGCATAAACATGTATCTCTTGCAGCTGAACATTCTACTAAATGAAAAGAAAACTTTCCATTTAGGATTCTAAATATAAAAGTTGTAGGCAATATTGTTAAATTTATTGATCTACAAAGACTACAATCCAAACATAATAAATCAACAACATCAAAAGAGATTCTCCTAATCCCATCATAGAAATGCAACTCAGAGATTCCATAATATCTAAATTAATATTGAAATGAAGAAATGGCCTAGACCAGTGGTTCTCAACCTGTGGGTCGGGACCCCATTTGGGGTCGAACGACCATTTCACGGAGGTCGCCAAACAACGCAGTCCGCCATTTTTTCCACTTTTCCTTAGCTGTGCTACTCCCTTTTATTCTATTGGCTTTTGAAAGCCAATAGAATAGACTCTCTTGAATAGTGTCTAATTCTATTGGCTTTCAAAAGCCAATAGGAATTGTCCAGGCTGTCTCTGCCCTTCTGAGCCTGCCAAAAGTCTCATTCTGCAAACGGTGCTGCACCAGTTGAGTAGTCCTCGACTTATGACCAGTTGAGTAGTCCTCGACTTACGACCGGTTGGGGGGGGGGGTCACGGCATTAAAAAGGTTGAGAACCACTGGCCTAGACTCCCACTCTGTGATCAGCCTGTCCCAGGTAAATGATGGTTTTGAGGATTTCCAGAAGAGATTACAGTTTCCCAGTTTGGAAGAGGCTGGAGTTTAGCCAAAGAATGAGCAGGTGGCTAGTCCCTGGACCAGATTCATCATATACAATCTTTTCCTGTGTGTCAACCTGGGCTGTTCCTTGGCTTTCCAAGATGCTCAGAATGATGTGGTGCCAGAAGAGAAGCCTGAAGAGCAGATGGAAAAAGTTGAAGACCAAATTTGACTGAACAGAGTATTGATGGGATCACATTGTGGCAATAAGGGCCATAATGTCACTAGTCACTCTTTAATGTCATAGTTCCGACAGAAGAGACCAGTAAAAACAGAACTCCAAGGAAAGCAGTTTCCTTAAATAACATATTTATTGGCTACAAAGTATTGGTACAATCAAAAGTGAAACCAAGAGTGGAATTCCCTCCCAAAGGTTACAATGTTACAAAGTTGAACTTCCCACCCCAGCACTATGTCATTAATCACATTCTCCAATAAACTACTTTGGTGGGCTTTCTAACGGAGGGCTCAGCCCACCAAAGGAAAGGAAACTGCTTTCCTTGGAGTTCTCTTTTTACTGATCTCATCTATCGGAAGCATGTCAGTAGCAATAAGGGTAGAGAACAGTTATTTTTCTATCCTAATTATTCCTAATGATAATCATGCATGTTTAAACTAACTCAGTTCATGCTGGTGAAGGATAAGTCAAAAGAACCTCTTGGGTGTTATGCAATTCAGGTACAATTGAAAGTGTAATTTATCACCTTCAAAGCCCTTCATGGCATAAGGCCTGATTATGCCCATTCCTGAACCAAAAACCCTTTCTCAGTTATCCACAATCTCTTCACCTCCCATTTGGACTACTTAATGTAATTTATATGGGACTGCCCTTGAAAAGTATTCAGAAGTTTCAGCTGATTCAAACTGCAGTGTGTCACGTCTACTAGATGCTGATTCGTTTTCAGATGCAACTCAGGTGTTAGTCAACACCTTTAAAATCCTATATGGCTTGGCACCTTTGAAGGACTACCACTCCCTTATTTCATCTACCCAATGCACCAGAGTGGGAAGGCAGGTCATGTTGTTAGTCCCATCTATTAAGGGACAGCGGATGGGACAGCTACATAAATTTGTTTAATAAAGATATGAAGGATTATCTTTTCCAGTTGTTTCTGACCATTTGATCCAATTAGGTAGATAGCACTCCCATCAATTAAGCAATATTGTCTTTTGGGATCCAAAAAAGTGCCTTCTTTGTTACAGAACTTGCTTTCAGAATTATACCACAGAGATATATATGGCTATAATCTGATGACATTCAGAAAGCTGTTAAAAACCTGGTTATTTTCCTAACCTTTGGGGCAGAATGAAAAGTGAGGCCTTTGGATGGTTTCTTTTTGGTATATATTGATTTGGATTCCCTTTTTTGCATTTTTAATTAATTGTAAGTTACACAGAGTTGCTGAAAGTTGGGCATATAGAAATAAATAGCATTTTTATGCTGAAAATTGCACAAAGAAATAAAAAGCAAAGTGATACATTTGATCTGATCAGATTACTGATCTGTCTATTTTATTTTTTTTAGAAATATTTTATTGATTTTTTATACTAATAATAATCCTTAGTGCCTAGTGTACAGCGTGTTGTCTTGGTTCATATATTTTTTTTAAAAAAACAGTCAATAGTAGTTAATTAACAGTCAATAATAATTAATTTTTGTAATTCCATAATTAGTATATTAATTAATAATATATTTCTTTGATCTTCCCTTCTCCCTTCGCCTTCAACCTTAATCAAATATAATTCTTAATATTTTCAATGCATAAATGGTTAAATATAAATTTATTTTTCATATTTGTACAAACAATAGTAACGTCCATATATGACATTTTTTCTTATCAACTTGTGTTGTTTTTATAAAAATCACCTTCTTAGTTCACCATATATCCTATTTTCATAATTCTTATTTAAGGTTAATTTTCTCTTAATATTTAAACAATTCTTATCAGTCATAATTTTCTCAATATTAATCATCTAAATATCCAGATTTTCCAATTAGATACACCATCCCAATGTTTTCATGTTTCATGCATTATAAAAGTACTATACTGCTTATCTACTTTATGACATCTATCATAACATCTTTTGTGATCAGTTTATATTTCACATATTTGTAAAAGTTAATTTGTTAAATCACTATGTATCCTATTTTCAAAGTTCTTATTTAAGCTTAATTTCCCCGTCTGTCTATTTTAATTGATACAGTACATGTGAATAGGGAACTATAAAATTTATTTACCATAAACATTTTAAATTGTCGAAGACTAAAATCTTCAAATATATTGTTATAACATATTTTAAATGGCATATTTATGCTCATTCAATAATTACACATAATTAATTTAAAAATAGTTTTACATAGGAATTTTTATCAAGAGGTACCTTTTGACTGTCATGTTCATAAGTTGAAAACCAATGTTCCGCTGTTTTCATTAGAAGAGTGAACATTGCACTGAAAGAGATTATATCATTACCTAAAAATGATAGCTATAATAATCAGAATCATAAATTTAAAAACAAATAAAAATTACTGAACATACTAGGCATCATGCTCCAGGTAGTCAGGATTCAAAAGAACGTTCATTTCCTCACTGGAAAAAATACATATATATTTAAACATTTATTTCTGGAAGTTTCTTTAAATAACTTATAACAGAAATGCAAGCTAAGTAAAACTAGCCTTTATCTTTAAAATTATAATTCCAGTTTAGACAAATGGAGCCTTTACTCTCTCTATAGATCAGTCTTTCTATAGATCAGAAATAAACTAGTTACCTCGTCTGCAAAACAATGAAAGAACTATCTAATTATCTGAAATAACAAATTACTGAATGCTACAATATATTTCAATACATTTGATCTAGAATAATTGATCACTATTTGTTGAAAACAAAATAAACAAAAAGCTGACCAGTCAAATACAATATTAAAACAGCACTTTATTTTAATAAAAACTATTTTTAATTTATCAACAATTATCAGTGTCAATTATTCTTATTCATTTTTACAGTTAGAACTCTAATATGAAAGGAGAAGGATAATATGCCCAGTGAATGCACCACTGAGAAATTTGATACTTTTTTCCTCAATAGATCCTGCATCTATTAACCAAATTTCATACATATGCATAGAAAGTAATTTGTATCTTGGAGATTCTCCTTTCTTTTGCTTCAGGAAAAGAGCTCTTATATGCTAATTGGTTCTTGAGAAAAGTATATAGCCCAACATAGTAAGTGCGGTAAATAGTGAAACCATCAGCTCATTTGTATATAGGTTTTGGCAAGAGTGGTAAGATCCCATCTATTTCCTAATTATTTAATAATTACCTGATCCAATATAGGTAAGATTTCATTTAGCAAGACTTTTGTTCTCTATATTGAGCCTACAATGATCTACACTGACATTACAGAACAAAGCACTGTAATTACTTTTCTTCTGTTTCAACTGGTTGAGAATCAGAGAACATGTGTCAAATAATCCCAAGCCTTAACAACACTGCATGATTAAAATGATCATGTATGTTGCTTGAACTATTATAGAAATGTGTGGCACATAATGTAAGAGCTTGGAGTTCAAAAGAATAAAATTCCCTGAAATGTCATAGAATTTAGCAATCTTGCAAAATGGAAACTATTTAGCGGTCCCTGCAATATTACATGAGTTAATACAATGGTGTAAATAGCCTAAAAATATCTCTTCAGTCTTTCTATTTCCAAATAGTGACCTCATGAAAAATCTAACGTTAAACATTAATTTATCAAGAAAGAACTCTTGCATTTAAATTGTTTCCACTGCTTATATTAGATATTTTCTATCTAAAAGGAGTAATCTAATTATAAAGAATTAACTAAATATACAGAACCTGCATAGAAAGTAAACCCAAATGATATTACTAAGTAATAGTTCTCATGATATATTGTATTAAATATTCTTACCAAAAATAAGTACAATAAATCAATTATTGGAATTTTAAGACTCCTAGATGCTAAATATAATAGAAAAGGACTTATTCAAAATATGAACAATATTAAATAGTTCCAACAGGTAAATCTTTTCAGATGTCTAAGATCTGAGGACTGAGAATGAAAGCACATTAAGTAATTCACAAATTTATATATTATCTTCTCATATATGCCAGTTTTTAATATTAAGTGATACATTTTAAAATGTTTATATTCACATGCTTACATTTATTTAACATGAAATCTGAACAGCAATACATTGTTTCGATATGTACTCTACAGTTATGTTTAAGATTTAAAATAAAAAACGAACACGCATCAATAAAATTTCTTGCATTAGTATTTATTATCTACCATATCATCTAGGACAGTAGAAGTAACAAGACAGCAATTATATAGTTTCAGATTTTGGATAGATCGAATCATGTTAAAATATGTTCTTCTGTGATTGTATCATTCTTCAAATATAATAAGTTTTGGCAATTGGCAAGTGCAACAGATACTACCTTTGGAGTTCCTAATGCATACTCTATTTTAGTAGCAATGTATTTTGTATGAAAAAATCTAGGGTGCCTACCTTGGTTGTGCTGCTTCACTTGCATGTAGAAAAGCTTGGTGGTCACAATGCAGAATAAAGACAATAGGTGCTAAAAGTTCATGCATACCCTACAATTAAAAAGAAAACTAGATTTTATCTAATGTATTAGAATTTAGCAACTCTGTATTACTGTGTGCTTTTAATATAGATTATAATTTAATCAGTATTTATAATATTCTCAAACAAATGGGAAATCACCACATTTTAAAATAGCACAGTATCAATGAGTTCACCACTGAGCACTTACATATAGCTCTATTTAAAACTCTCTCTTTTGGTTTAAAAAATACTATTGTGAATAATAACAGCTCTACTATGAAGAAAAACCAGCGCCACTGGGGTTTTCATGGAGGACTAAGACTAGTACCTAATCAATGAGTACTAGTACAGAGTCTTCTCAAGGATAGGCAATATACATTTTATAAAAACTGTAGGGAACAATAATGGAAGAATATCAACATCCATGCTGTGAGCTTACTGAATCCACCTAGTTGACCATTATATGACACAGACTGATGGCCTATATGTTACCTGATACTGTAGGCCATGATTTACGTTCTTATTCCTCATGATTTTCAGTATTTATGTGACTGTACTGTGAAATGTTGTATGGAGGTAAGGGCTGAAGATGATGGATAAGGTTTGTAGTTTGAGGATGATTTATCTGCAATGCACAGCACTGCCACTAAAAATAGTCTGGAACCCATAGTCCTGCTATATAGTAGGTTGTTTAAATGGAAGAAATATCTCTCCCTATATTCACCCTCCTTATATTCACCCATCTCCTTATATTCACCCAAGTTACTTTCAAAACACTGCACCAACTCAAAATAGAGAACTTTTTTCAGTACTGGTAGTACCCATCTGTAGAAAATATTTAATAAGGTTACTAGGAAACTATAATATTGCATTGTTGATATGAGTTGAAGAACTTTTTATCGTATTCACATTTCAAGAACTATGTTAACTCATATACTGTAGACATTTGTTCTGTTATATTTCTGTTAGTTTTCCTTTGCTTTTATTAGCTGCTATACTACTATTCCAATTCCAGAGAAAGGCAATGCCAAAGAATGTTCAAACTATCGCACCATTGCACTCATTTCACATGCTAGTAAAGTTATGCTTAAAATCCTACAAGCTAGACTCCAGCAGTATGTGGATCGAGAGTTACCAGAAGTACAGGCAGGATTTCGAAGAGGCAGAGGAACTAGAGATCAAATTGCCAACATACGCTGGATCATGGAGAAAGCTAGGAAGTCCCAGAAAAACACCTACTTCTGCTTCATTGACTATGCTAAAGCCTTTGATTGTGTGGATCACAACAAATTGTGGCAAGTTCTTAAAGAGATGGGAGTACCAGACCATCTCATTTGTCTCTTGAGAAACCTATATGCGGGTCAAGAAGCAACAGTGAGAACCGAACACGGAACCACTGATTGGTTCAAAATTGGAAAAGGAGTCCGGCAAGGCTGTATACTGTCGCCCTGCCTATTTAACTTCTATGCAGAGCACATCATGAGAAAGGCAGGGCTAGATGAAACAAAAGTTGGAATTAAGATTGCCGGGAGAAATATCAACAACCTAAGATCTGCAGATGATACCACTCTAATGGCAGAAAGTGAAGAGGAACTAAAGAGCCTCTTGATGCGGGTGAAGAAGGAGAGTGCAAAAGTTGGCTTGAAACTCAACATTAAGAAAACCAAAATCATGGCATCCGGCCCTCTCAATTCCTGGCAAATAGATGGGGAAGAAATGGAGGTAGTGACAGATTTTATTTTCCTGGGCTCCAAGATCACCTCAGCTGGGGACTGCAGCCAAGAAATTAAAAGACGCTTGCTCCTGGGGAGGAAAGCTATGGCAAATCTAGACAGCATTCTAAAAAGCAGAGACATCACCCTGCCAACAAAAGTGCGTATAGTCCAGGCCATGGTTTTCCCAGTTGCAATGTATGGCTGTGAAAGTTGGACCATAAGAAAGGCTGAGCGCAAAAGAACTGAGGCCTTTGAACTATGGTGCTGGAGAAGACTCCTGCGAGTCCCTTGGACTGCAAGGCGTTCAAACCGGTCAGTCCTAGAAGAGATCAACCCCGACTGCTCTTTAGAAGGCCAGATCCTGAAGTTGAAACTCAAGTACTTTGGCCACCTAATGAGAAGGAAGGATTCACTGGAGAAGAGCCTAAAGCTGGGAAAGATTGAGGGCAATAGAAGAATGGGATGACAGAGAATGAGATGGCTGGATGGAGTCACTGAAGCAGTAGGTGTGAATTTAAATGGACTCCAGAAGATGGTAGAGGACAGGAAGACCTGGAGGAACGCGGCGGGTCGGACACGACTTTGGGGTCGCGGCGGGTCGGACACGACTTTGCAATTAACAACAACATACTACTTTTATTGTTAATAATTCATTTTATATTCATATTTATTTTTATTATTGTTGTTGTTAAGATTTCTTTATAAAATACTTAACTTTAAAGTATACTTTATGCTAAACACTTCCTTTGACTATAAAAGAGAAGATGAGTCTTTATTTAAATTCTGCTTTTACCAATAACTTACATAGTCAATCATAAAACAATGCCTTGAGGTCACTTTAGGAAAAAAACTGCTTACAAGCTGATAAACTTTTATACAGGATAAATCTTCCAAAGCAAAAATCATTAACTATTGGATATCTATATCCTACAATTCCTTTGAGAATCAAAGCATTGTTAAAAAACAAAGCTTGACTCTGCAGAAACTAAGGAGCACTATTCATTACTAATTAGTTCAAACAACAATCAAGTACATTAGAAACTTTTCTGTTATCATTTATACTTGCTTAAAATCACAATTTCACAATTGCTTTGGCACGAATTCTATACTAATTTTGACATATTACATTTACTTCTGGGACAATATAAAGAGGATATCAGAATGGAGTGAGGTTTATTTTAGTAGTACCTCTGATTAATGAATTAAAACAGCTATGTAAATTGGAAAAAGGAAATATGGAAATGAAATTAGGGTTTTAGTTTCTTCCATTTAAAATTTTTGGTACAATAACCAGAATACAATGTTAGATTTTTAAAAAAGATGTTATAAATTTAAAGTTTCAATGATGGTTCAGTTGGGCTTCTTTCTTACACTTCAGTGTGTATAGGAATAAAATGACATCATTGTACTATTCTTTCTTTCTTAATTTTAGAATCGTTTCAAATAGTTTAGGATATTTAGGGAAGAAAGACTTGCTGGAAATGAAATACCCTGCTTTGAATGACCAGGTGATAATTTCAAATAGTTAAATAAGCCAAATATTCTAACTGATATAGGCAAGAAGATATAAAAAAATTATAACTATATTCTCAACATATATGGTAATTTTTCAGATTTAGAACTGTAATTTTACTCAATTCATTTAGTTACCTTAAATCATCTTTATAGACAAGCATATTTTAAGGTTCAACAACTGCCAATATTATTATAATAAGGGTGTCTATGTGGGAGTTATATCCCAAAAGAATTGGCAAAGAGATCCTTTACTTGTAGATTTGATACAAGAAATTAGCTACTGAGTCTATTTAATGTTAACACCTAGAAGTATCCTTCAGATACAATTAAGAAAATAAATCTAAACTCATTGTACTTTTCCAATAAAATGAAAACATAATAGCATGCCAAAACTATTTAGCACAAAATTAAACAAGTCATTTTCCTGCAAATCTGAATACAAATTTGCTATTTATGTGAGGTTGTTTACAGATTCAAAATAAGAGAACAGCAAATAAAGCAGGTACAAAAATTTGGATACCCTTCCAGCTGATTCAGTCTTTTTGTTTACTATAAGGGTGCTAATAATGCTAATAATAGAGCTAAATTAAGCTTAATCATCTTTTAATATGATTAAATTTAGTCAGGGAAAGACAATTCCACAGATAACAAATATTCCGATATTTTAGGATATGGCAATATTCGAGTACCACCTAGCAAGGTGTCAAAAATTTGATGACCCCCCCCCCCAAAAAAACCCAAAAAAAACCCAAAAACCAACAAAAAAATCATCTTCAAAGTTACAATTGAATGCCTTTTCTCAGCATGATGATGGAGAATCCACAAATGTGGTTAACTCTGTCTTCCTGCCCAGTTAGACTAAGTCTGTCAAAATTGCCATGCCTCTCTGGGCTAGAATACCATCCAATCACGACAAAGGCGAACCTACTGACGACAGTCCAACGTGTTGGCTCTCCTACCCCTGACATAGGACCTGATGGACACTAAGTTGTGGGTGTGGATTCTCCATCATCATGCTGAGAAAAGGCGTTCAGGTAAGACAACGCCCCTTCTCCAGCATGAAGATGGCGAATCCACCAATGGGACATACCATAGCTGCCCTGTCCCTATGGGAGGGAATCAGTCTGGGCCTGTGTCCCACTTTGTGGCACTACCTGCTGGAGCACACTCCGGCCAAATGAGGCATCCGCGGAGGCAAACCTATCCAGCTTATAATGCCTCACAAACGGGGAAGGCGAGGACAAGTCGCAACCCTACAGATATTCCCAATGGATGCCTGTGTCGCCCATGCCGCGGATGTTGCAGCGCTGCGGGTGGAGTGGGCAGTGATATGGCTCAGGACTGACAGGGAATGCGACTGATACACTCTTGCAATGCAAGCTATAGTGGAGGCCGAAACCTTCTGCCCCATGGAAGAGGGTTGAAAGGAGACAGAGGGTTTTCAACTTGCAAAAGGCTGAAGTTCGCTTAATGTAATGGCGTAATGCCTGCAGACGTCCAAGGTGTGCAATTGATGTTCTAAGTCATGAGATGGACAAAAGTCTGGTAGGATCACTTCCTGCATCCTGTGGAATAAGGTATTCATTTTAGGAATAAATGACAGATCCAATTGAAGGAGCTGTCATTATGAAAAAAGCATAGGTCATCCCTGACAGAAAGAGCTGCTAGTTTCGAGAGGCGTCTAGCCGATGTGATGGCTATCAGGAAGGCTACCTTCATGGTTAAGGATCGCAGGGTTCAAATGGCGGTGAGGTAAGGGCCTGTAAGACCCGTGGCAATTCCCAAGAGGGATATCGATG